CCCCCCGCCCTTGCCCCCGATTTCCCCCCCCCCCAGCCCCTCGCACTTGTGCAGGTTGAGCAGCGCGGGGCGGTTGCGGAGCTGGTGGAGGCTGAAGAGGAGGGAGAAACGTCGAGCCAGGTCCCGGATCTCCTGGAAAGCCTGGGATTCCTGGATCTCGGGGCCCTGCTGCAGCAGCAGCTCTGTCATCAGCTGCGCAGAGTTGGAAAGTCAGCGCGGGACCCCCTGGAGACCCTCCTGGATACTCCCCCCACCACTGCCCTAGAGCCTTCCAGACCCCTGGACCTGCCCAGAGACATCTCCCAAAACCCCATCCACGTCTCCTGGAGCCTCCCAGACCTCCCTACATCACTCCAAAGACCCCCGGAGACTCTCCCAGAGACCCTCAGAGCTTCCTGGACCCCCCCCAGGGACCCCCCCCCGGCCAGGATTAGTCCTCGTTTCTGCCGGGGGGGGGGCGCCCCCCCAGGGCCCCCCCCCCGGCCAGTATTGTACCTGCTGCAGGCTGAGGAGCAGGGTGCGAGCCCACTCCTGCCGGTCCATCTGCCGGGTGCAGTTGAGCATCTCCTTGATGATGTCCCCATAGTCACTGTAGAACTGGGGAAGAAGGAGGGGGGGACGAAAGAGCCCCGTGTCCCCAAGATGTCCCCAAGATGTCATGGGGGCCAGGGGACAGCCCTCTCATGTGTGTGTCCCCCCCCATTCCACCTTGGCATAGTGCTTGAAGACGTCGGAGGCGGCGCTGAGCTCCAGCACGTTGTAGATGATGAGTTTGCAGAAGCCGGCCAGGAGCACCCGGCGCTGGTGCAGCTCCTCGATGTGGCTCTCGGTGTCCTCTGGTGGGGGGACAGGAGGGAGGGACAGATGTCCAAGGGGACAGTGAGGACAGACATCCCGGGGGGAACACCCCTAGGATGCGTGGAAGGGGACGTACCGGTGGCTGAGAGCTCCTGGTGGCCACCAGCGTGGTGGAAGACGTGGTCCATGAGGAAGGCAGCCAACTGGGACTGGAGCCCGGGGTCGGGCAGCAGCACCAGTGGGGCCAGGGCCTCTCGCCCATCATGGGGAAGCTGGGGCCCGAAGACCAGCAGCAGGTCGCTGAGCACCATGAAGGCCTGAGGACACGGGGACAGGCTCAGGGCCAGCTTGTCCCCCCCCACCA